TGATCAAGGTCAAGTCACATTGTGTCTCTGAACCTCAATCTCTTCATATATAAAATGGGGAAGCTGGACTCCAGGGTTCCTAAGGTGCCTCCAAGTTCTAAATCCACTTGCCAGAAATTTGAACTCTAGTCTTTCTGAACTGAACTCTGGTCCCGTTGTCCTCCTACACTAGCCTGCCTAGGCTGACCCTGGGGTAATAATGATCTCTGGTTAGCTATTTTTTTCTTTGGTTATTAGTAAAATTGGTAGAAAACACAGTACCAATAATAGAGATCATGATGACAAATGGAAGTTCTACATGAATGGAAAGTAGGAGCTAATGAGACATGAGTCATATGTTTAGAAGTATTCAAACTTGTACAGATACTCAGAATGGGATCCAGACTTTCATCCTTTGGTTGGAAACTAGAGCCCTGGGAATACAGAGAGAAAAACCAGACAGTCTCTGCTCTCTCATTCTAATAACACTCATGGAAGGCTTCAGCTATATATACAGCATCGAAACAGATGGTCATGCCCCTTCTTCAAAGCCATTTCCACAGATAAAATGGCCTTAGTTTCTGAATTCATTGGAATGCTATCGCTATTGCTAATGTCCCTGGTCAAGGCACAAGGTTAATAACGCCTGTGCTAAGGGCTTTCTGGCTCAGGATAAAGGATGCACTTCCATCATGACGTAAATATGGCCCAACAGATTCAATGCACTGTCAGCGTGAATCTCCACTGTACCCACGTGGGCAACCCAGGGCATAATGATGCCCTTTCAAATAGGATCCCATTGTATTTGTAATATAGTCTCCTTCAATGGTTCCCATCCTGGGCAGTCAAGAATCCCTGGGAGGCCAAAGAGTTATCCGGGCACAAGAGGTCCTTGAATCCATAAGTGGAACTGAATCTAAGGCTGAAACTTTGACCACTTCAACCAGACTTCCAGGCTCTGAAATCTGCAAAATAATCCTAGCTGCTATCTCTTTAAATCAATGCATATGCATTTATTTAGCACCTACTATATGCCAGGTACCCTGGCAGGTGCTGAAAATACAACGACAAAGGTGAGATAGTCCCTACCTTCTTGGAGTTTACATTCTACTAGCACGAAATAACTCATGGACATATATAAGCCAACATCCTTTCAGTAGAGCGAATAAATAGTATGTCTTGTAAATATGTGAATTACTATTTTTCAACTATATAGAGATCCTATTGTAATTAATAAAATAGAAATTCATTCAAAAGCAATATTAAGTTCATGGTAGCTTTTCTCAGACCGACAGTTAACAGTACAACTAGTATGACCCGGGGATCTGTACTGTTTTTTTTTTTTTTTTAGGCATTTGGGGTTAAGAGACTTGCCCAGGGTCACATAGTTAGTAAGTGTTATATGTTTGAGGCTGGATTTGAACTCAGGTCCTCCTGACTCCAAGGCCAGTGCCCTTTCCACTGAGCCATGTAGCTGTCCCCTGTGCTGTTTTTTTGACATTAAAAAAGGGATCCTCCAAAAATATTGGGAACCCTTGGAACAACATCATTTCAGGAGGGTGGGAAGCTAGGCCCCTTCTGGTCCTCTTCCCCTGGTCTGGCTGACCCTCCTCTTAGTACACATACGCTCTTTCTCAACTTCAGCCAAACAGCAGAATATTCCTATAGAAGAGAAAAACCTACACCCAGGTCCCGGGCAGGGATGGAGCAGGTACTTTCTATGAAAGCAGGAGCATCTGCAGGGTTCTGGCATTAAAAGAAGGGCCAGGGAGTTCTAAGGACTAATCACTGTCCAGCTGAGATTTCCTGGCTGAGAGGTTCCTCCACTGTCTGCTGGAAGTTAAAAGGGGATTGATTGTTCCTCTGCATTCTTGTGGGAGGGGTGGGGTGAGCCATACCTAGACCCAGAGAGCTCTCAGCGACCTTTATCTACAAGGGAGATAAAGGGGACCAAAATCCAGGCAAAGCGGACCAACACCCTTCCATCAGGCTAGCTGTGCAGACGTGGGCCAACTCCCCGTGAACTGCTAAGGGTCTGGCTGGTGACCTTTTGCTTTTCCTTTTCCAAGGGCTGTATTTCAGGCAGTCTACCGCTCAGGAGCACCTGCAAGATGACATCATGGTACAATGGAGTCAGAGGAGCTGGGTTCCAAACCCAGCTCGTCTACTTACTAGTTCTGTGACCTTGTGCAAGAATTTTCTTTGTTTTTCAGCTTCATCTAAGAAAAGGAGGTGGGGGAGAAGGGGCAGGGCTAGATTGAGATCACATAAGTCCTTTGCAGCTAGTGTCTCTATTGTCAGAGAGTAAGCAGGAGAAAATCAAGATGAGCAAAATCAGTCAATGGTTAGCAGAGCTGGTATGAAAAGGGTTGAGGGGCTGGGAGGGCAAGGGAGGGGAAAGACCATAAGAGAGGCCTGCCCTGTGCAACAGCCTGAAGAAATGTGGTGTCAGGAAAAGATTCTAGCCTTCAACTCTACACACCCAGAGAGTTATGAAGTAGCTGGGTGACCCCAGGAAAATAACTTCGCCATTCTAGACCTCAGCTTGCTCACCTATAGAACAAGAGGGTCGGATGAGGCGATTTCTAAAAAGTCTTCTTATTTCACGTTACTCTTTTTTATGGACCCTATGGAAAGGCAGTGTAGCAAGGCAGATACAGATGGAACGAAATCTGGGTTCAAGTCCCTCCTTTCACCTTGCAAGGAAACTCTCCAAGCTTAGAGGTTGCTGAGACGTGTCAACCTGCATTGTTAGAAGGCGTTTCCTCAACTGGGAGTTCCCTCTATCAGTGAAATCACAGGTACTATGACTATCCCTATATACTCTACATTATAGCCCAACTCGACTCTGAGGCAGTTCCCCTAAAGTCAACAGACCTACTCCCATGTCCATGTATTGGCATAGTTTATGCTGCATGTATGGAGCATTCCCTTCCTTCAAGATCTTTCTCAGATGCATCTCCATCATTAATCTTTCCCTGATTCCTGCCTCCTCAAGCCCCAACCCAAGCGCAAAGTGTTCTCTTCCACCTCAGCTTTTTCTAGAACTCTTTTCCTAGTTCTATCCTGTGACCCCATCATCCTTAATATTCTTTATACAGGTGCCTTCTTTCCCTTTCTCCCTACCACCCAAGTAGAACTTCAGCTCCTGTACAGAAAGAATGTGTGTGTGTGTGTGTGTGTGTATATGTGTGTGTGTATATGCATATATTTCCATCTTTGTAATTTTAGCCCCTAACCATAGTCTAGCTGGAGAAGGATATGTCAGACCACTCCAGTTCCTTTAGCATGAATACCCCAAATGGGATCTCAAAGAGTCAGACACAACTAAAACTGAACAACAACAACACACGCAGCTCTACACTTAGTCTTCCCCATTAGACAGTGAGCTGCTTGAGGGCAGAGGCTATCTGCCACTTTTCTTTGTATCCCATTGTGCTCAGCACGATGCTTGGCATATAGTAGGCACTTAATAAATGCTTGTTGACTTGACTTAAAAAAATTATTTATTGAAATAAGCTGAAGCACATAACCAGCACAGAGCAGGTTCCTTGTATGTGCAGTAAAAAACGTGTGTTAAATTGAATTGCAGATGAATTAATTAGGGTCCTACTTACAGATTTTACAGTCAAAGATGATTAATTGGTAGTTTTAAGTAAGCCATCCCGAATCCATTAGAGTCCCTAATGCCTAGGACAAATGATTTTTTTTTTTAAATTCGCAAGTATGCTTTAAATTTCTAGAGCAGTCAATACTCTCCCAGTGCTGATGCCTAGTAATCATAATCTTGAATTTATTGTTTTTCCTGTTACTACTTCCTTTGTCTTTTGTTGGGTATTTAGTAGCACTCCCCAAAACTTTGTCCTTGGCTGTATTTTAATTTGTGAGCCCATCACAAAGACTTCAGCCCCTTCCTCAGTTTCAAACCCACTGACCACAGGCATGTGGTCATGCCTTCAACTGGTGAGTTCCAAGCAACAGATACAAGGAAATTTGACATTACTTCCTGTTTTGTTTTTACTGTGGTTACAGGGTCAGTTCAGTAAAAATGGTAACCATAGGCTATATTTTCCTGTCTCCTTATTTCAGAAATGATGAATGTGTCTTATGGTAAGTACTGCTACTTACCATACATGAGTTTGTATTATGAATGTACAATAATAATAACAATTAATAATAATAATGAGCAAATCTAATTTCTCTGGCATTTTGAAGCTTTACAAAATACTTTCTGCATGGGTAGCACCTGTATTATCTACCAGATCTCTAGTTGGTATAAGGAAACTGAGACTCACAATGACCAAGTGATTTATAGAGATAGAAAGTGGGCCTATGATTTCACTGTCATAGGGAATGGACTCCCAGATAACTCTCTCATCCAATGAAGGTCGGCACTTCTCCGCAACTGAGACTCTTGAGAATTGACTGGGGCCCTAAGAAATTGTCCATTTTACAGATGGCATCATGTAATGAACAGAGGGCCAGCTTTGAAGCCAGGAGGATCCAGGTTCAAAAACAGTCTCTGAGACATATTGGCCCCTCTGTGGCCCTGGGCAAGTCACTCAACCTTTCACTGACCCAGGCAGTTTTGTAAGGCTAGAAGCCACAGAGAAGGTGCTGACCCGCTGGTGGAGGGAGCCTTCTCACCTCAGGGACTCCAAGGTCACTGGCCTTCACCACACTCTCCCAGATCCAGTCCTGACTCGAAGGACTTTTTTCTCCACCATGACCTCAAGTGAGTACCTTCTCCCCACTTCTCCCTTTCAGCTTCCTTTTGTGGAATGTCCTACCCTCATTAGAATGCAAACTCCTCAAAGGCAGGGACTATCTTTCTTTTAGCTTGTTTATGTATTTGCAGCATTAACACATGCTCATTGGCTTGTTGACTATATAGAATCAGTCAAACGTCACATAATAAGGTTGTGCCATCATGTTCCAGCTCTCACAACACAAGCTTTGTTAATAATAGCAATAACCGATGAGACCTGTAAAAAGCTCTTTATATACGGTATGCCATTTGAGCTTCAGCAGGAAGTTTGGGAGGCAAGTACTTTATTTTTAACTAGACTTGTGATTTCATCAATATAGGAGCTCCCTCTAACAATGCAGATCAGAACCTACTCAGCATTTAGAATAGAGGTGGAAGGGAACTTAGGAGACCACCCCTCTCATTTTACAGATAGGGAAACTGAGGCCCAGAGGGGGTGTGGCTTGGCCAAATCACCAAAATACTAGAAGAGATAGGAAGGAATTACATCATAAGGGTTTTCCATGGTCCAGAGCTTAAGAAATCATTCCTGTTATGGAAAAGAAAGGGCCTCACTCTTCTTAAAGCCTGAAACAGCGTTTTCTGGCCCATATGGACAAAGAAAAAGGAAGTAGCATGAGCTATCTGTAGGACCCCAGCAGAGGCGGAAGGTGCAAGGCCAGGATGCCATTGTCCCTATTAGAAGGAAGTTCTCCCACTTATCCAAGAGACCCGTCCATGAGGAGGCTGGGGACAGCAGAGTCCAGAAGGCCAAGCGTCTTCCTTAGCCAAATAGCTCAGAGAACAATAGACTCAAGGAAAGTCAGGACACCTCTGCCATTGGACTTCCCCGACGGAAACCCAGGTTATAATAAAGGGCCTCCTGCTTCCTCTTCCTGAATGATCTTGGGGCAGCTCCAGCCAGGCTATTCGAATGGCATTCTAAAAAAAAAAGAAAATTCCAGATTGGAACTGCTGGGGAGTTTCTTCTATTTTTAAAGTATTCTGTTTAAACCTAATCACCTTTTAGGAATAAATCACCACCAGGGAAGGATACTAAAGAGTGCTTAATGGCTTTGGAGTTGGAAAACATACGTGCGAATTCCAGATTGACGTATCACTCACTAAGTGGTTGTAAGTTCCCCATTTGACAGCAAGCAAATTCTCACTTCCTGCTCTCCAGTGCCTCTAAGGCAGTTACCTCAAACCTACCTTGGGTTGCTACTGCTCCCTGATCTTGTCCCCATCCAATTCAGCAGCCCTATGCCTTTCTGGTTCTTCTCTTCTAGCCTTCCCTTTGGCTGGCCTCCCTGCAATCCCTATGTACAATTACCAAGCCTCTTCTCATCCTGGATTTCTTCTTCTTGACTCTTCTCTCCTTCTTTCACTCACGGAAACTGGGCTGCCTTCAGAAGGTGGTGCATCCTTGACCAAGCCCACTGGACCAGCACAAGTGGTTCCTTGGGTCTCATGTTCCCTGACATACCAGATCAGAGTAATCCCCGTACTTTTGCTCTAGGCTACTTCCAGGTCACATCTTGGGCAGCAGCTTAGATTTGGAGATGGAAGGGACCGTGGCGACTATTAATTACAAATTCCTCATTTTTACAGATGAAGAAACTGAGCCCAGAGAAGGGAAATCACATACTCAAGGTTATGGAGGCAGTTGACTCAAGGTCACGCGGGGTCCTCTGGTAAATCTGCTGCTCCCCTTTCTTTCCCAGTGAGATGAGGTCATGTTCTTCTCTGCTGAGAAAGCCTGATTCTCATGCCTCAGAGATCTGTGGTCTTGTTTCTGGGGTTCTCTATCACTTTGCAGGTCCTCCTTCTTTAAGAGCTGTCATCTGGAAGAGAGGGAAAGAATCCTTCAGCCTGGCCCCACAGAAATACTGTGATATTATAGGATCATAAGTCAGAGCTAAAAGGGCCACAAATTACATCAAGGCTAATCACTTACTACAAGTGAGGAAACTGAGACCCATAGAGGCGAAATGACTTGGACTTGATGGTTTTATATAATAATAATAGTAATAGCCAACATTTATATAGAACCTACTGTGTGCTAGGCACTGTGCTAAGTGCTTTATAATTATCTCATTTTATCTTATTTATATATAATATATATGTGTACATATTGAGGATCCTTTGAGATCATTTTTAAGCCCCCCAAAGCTTGAGAAAGGCCTAAAACCTGGATTGGCCAATCAGGAGAAAGACATTTTTTTGGCCCATTTTTTTTGACCTTAACCTACCATAATGCCTTGCATGCTCTGGCATAACAGACATGCTTTACTTTGCTCTCTGAGTGAACCCAAAATGCCCCTTCTTGTGTCAGCAACTACATGGCCAGATAAAGCTGATCAGGTGCATTCTTCTGTTTATGACTGTCCAGGGTAGGACACTTTGATCCAGACGCTATCTTGAATAATGGGACTTTTTCTTATCTTGGTATTTTATGGACACGTTATGCTATATATATAGAGTCAATGTTAATGATAAAAGAAACACAGACATCCTGGATCTATAATTTCAATTGACACCTTGATATTCTCTTATCTTATTGTGTACTTACAATCTATCCAATTAAGAAATTCCTTTCTCATATTATGGTTAACACATATGGAGACTAGAATTTTGGCTGACATAGGAAACCTGAACAAGGAAGGGAGGGACAGAGGGGTAAGAGGGAATTGTTCTGAAAATATAAGGTCCCCTTTGCCTATCCTTCCTTGGGCTCATTTTCACAATGAACTCCTATGCATATCTCTATATGCATGATCTGCCTGCCAGCTTTGAGAGAAATAAACATACATATGCAGCCTAAATTTGTTTGTCTTTCTTAGAAGGAACTCTGAAATGGTTAATAATACATGTGTATATGCATATATATGTATATATATACATATAAATTATACAGAGAGTTAGTCACTCAGTCAACTAGCATCGGTGAAGGCACTGTGCTAAGTACTAAGATAAAAACACATTTACATACACACATTGTTTCCCCTTTGGGAAACTTCTTGCAAGATGGAATTGTTTCATGTATTATATTTATATTCCCAGTGCCTAGTACAGTCCCAGGAATATAGCAGATCCTTAACAAAAGTTTGCTGATTGATTGCCTAGGGTCACAGAAGCAGTAAGTAGAAGAGGCAGGATCTGAACCCAGGTCCTCTGATTCCAAATCCAGGTTTTCCCCCCTTTTCTTCTCCTATGTCTTCCTTCTTACATCTATCATCTCCTCTTTTAGTTTTCTCTTCTTGAGGTTAAACTTTCCCAATTTCCTCAATCCCTCCTGGTATGACCCGGTTAGAAGACCCCTCTCAATTCTCTTTATCATCAATCTGACATGGCTGTCAACATCCCACTTAAAATATGGTGCCTAGAACATAGAATAGTGGGATTATCACCTCCCTTTACTAGGAAATTCTGCCTCTTGGTGATGCAGCCTGACTACATTAGCTCTGTTTTTCAGCTGTTGGGTTGTAGAGGGCCTGTTGTTAATTAAACCGTCCCTCACTGAGCAGTAAGGGGCCTCTTCCTCTAGTGAAGGGGATTCAAAAGTAAAATTACATCTTGAATTGTGGGCCAATCCAACATGACATAGCCGGGAATTCCCAGGGGCAGGACCTAATCAGCTCTCATTCATTCATTCATTCATTCATTCATTGAAAAAGCATAAAGATCCAGAGGAGAAAATACAACCTAAACCCTCTGACACACCGGCATGCTAACCAGCCTCCTTAGCCAACAGCAGTTTCTAGCTTTCTTTGGAAGAATTAAACTATTTAAGAGGACTGAGTCTCTACAGTTAAATCCTGGCCTGGGGCGGTATCAAGTAGTAACCCAAAGAGAGCTAGTTATGGAATCCAAAGAACTGCTGTCCAAGCTTGCTCACTTTAGGCTATCATCAACCAGCATTTCTTGAGCAGCTACTATGTGTCACGACCTCGGGTAGGTACTGGGGACTCAGATATAAGGAACGGAACTATCTCAACTCAAAAAGAGCTTATGTTCTAACAAGGAAGACAACAAGGATCCATCTACCCGTCCATCTATCTATCTATCTATCCATCCATTCATCCATCCCTCTGTCCATCCATCTGTCTTTCTATCTGCCCATCTAATCTATGTATCTATCCATTTATCCATTCATCTATCTATTCATCTATCCATATGCCTATCTATCGACCTATCTAATCTATGTATCCATCTATCCTTCACCCCTCCATCTGTCCCTCTATCATCCATCCGTCTGTCTGTCTAGCTATCTATCTATCCATCTATACTTACATTCAGAATATAAAGGGATTAAATGCAAACACATGCAAAGTAGTTAAATACAAGGTAATCTGAGAGGGAGAACTGGACCCTTCTACTGTGACGATGACTTAAGGATGATCATAAGCACCATGACAGCATCAAGAAGAGAGAGAGGTAGCAAAGGTATTTACAGAATCTGGGAGATCGACAAACTGTACCCTGTTAATGGGATGGGAAGATCACTGGATTCAGGGTCGTGAGCCCCGGCTGTAAATCATGGCTCTCACACTTAGTAGCTGAGTGAACATAGATAATTTCTCAGAGCCTCAGTTTCCTCACATGTAGAAGGGGGGCAATACTTGTAATACATCCCTTGCTGGAATGTTGTGAGGTAAACCTTAAAGTGCCTTGATTATTTAAAGCCTTTTAGATAGTTGTTAAATTAAGTATCTATTACCATTTATTACTGTTATTATTAGAAGATGAACTTGCTGGATTCGAGCTGCTGTAGTCAGACCACATTCGTATTTCAAGCTGCTGCTTCCTCACTGCCGATGCAGCCTTCATTTGCCAAAGCCACCCGGCGTCTCGGGTGATTCATTAACACCCTGTTTCTATCACATGCCCCTGACCTTTTACTTGGCGTTCCAAAGGTCTTCCTCAGACACACATTTCACATACTTCTTTGTTCTTTTGGCTGTTCCGGAGGGAAAGCTAACGTGTGCCTGTGAAGATAAACTCACTTCCCTTTCTTATTGTTTCTCTTCTGCCATAAGTCACTGTGGGCAACTCATTGGAAAATACCCATGTTATTCTCTTACACATGCAGCACGATAGAATGAAAACAATGCCAAACTTGGAGGCAGCAGGGACTGGGTGCCAATCCTACCCTGGACACTTAGTAGTTGTGTGATCGGGAGCAATTCACTTCACTCTCTTAGCCTCAATTTCCTCATCTGTAAAAGGGGATAATAAACCTATAGTACTCAATCTGGCATGAATGTGGCAGGGACCAAAGGAGATAATGTACATTAGGTACTTTTCAAACCTTTAAGTCAGATTTGAATGTCAGTTCCCCTCTTTGTTATTATTATCGAAAGGCAGCCTGCCATGGTGGCAACAGGGCTAGCCCCAGAATCAGGAAGACATGGGTTCAATTCCAGCCTCTGACCCCAAGCCATTTACTTAACTTCTCAGTGCCCCAGGCAGGTCTCCAAGATTATAAATTGTAAAGCAGGTTCCAATCTACATTAATAAAGGGAGTTTCCTGATTTGGAACTCAAAAATGATTTTTTAAAAAGTATGTTAAAATCGTTTTACATGTAGTTGAGAAAAAACAAGACAAAAAAATTCTTTAAAAAATAAAGAAAGGGGCAGCTAGGTGGCACAGTGGTTAGAGCACAGGCCCTGAAGTCAGGAGGATCTGAGTTCAAATGTGGCCTCAGACCAAACACTTGACACTTACTAGCTGTGTGACCCTGGGCAAGTTAACCCCAATTACTTTAAAAAAAAGAAAAAAAAAGGTTTTCTTAGCTGAGAGTTCCCTGCACCACTGAAATTATAGGTCTGCTAAAAAAAAAAAAAAAGGCTATCCTCATTATTACATTTTCTTTTTTCTCCATAGCCTCACTACTCTGGGACCAAAAGCTCAGGAGCCCTAGCCTTCAAGAACTGCATCCACTGAATCTTTCTGCAGCTTGTAAATCTTTCTGAGAGACCATCCCTTTTTCTATTGTTTCATTCAATCAGCAACCATTTAATAATCACCTCCTATGGGCCAGGCACTGTGTGGGTAGCTGGGAATACAAATGCAAGGAATGAGACAATCCCTACTAATGAGTTCGCATTCTCAGAGGGAAGAGAAGTCCATAGATAATTAGAGAATAAACACAAGGTAGTTAATGACAGGGCAGTTTGGGAGGGGGAATACCTCCACCTTTCAGAGATTTGTTGTTGAATTACTGAAGCTGCACTTTGGAAAAAGTAAGTTTATCCAAGTGGGTCTAAAAATCTCGTGTTCACCTAGTTTAGGCAGGTGCTCAGTGGTGTTTGACTGCGCTGACCCCTACTGGTGAGATAAGTAATAGGTGACGTATTGCCGGCTGTAGCCCAGCACTGCTGGGTAAAACTCTTGGAGATTTTCACTTTCATTCACTCTGCACCCAGTCTTAAAGAGCCACTTTAATAACTTGGTCTCAGAGCCAAAGTTACAATACGCAGGCATGTAAGTAGGAGGAATTTTGAGAATGGATTAAAAAAACCAACACATTTATTAAGAGCTTACTACATGCCAGGTACTGTGCTAGGCACCAAGGATAGAAAAATAACGGAGCCTCATAGTCCTGGCTGGCCCTCAAAGCTCACATCCCAACGGGAAGACAATATAGGATGGGGAGCTAACGTGGGTACTCTCATGGCAGCAGGCTTTGGAGATGGCCACTTTGTGGCCCGCTGCCCTGCTTCTGAGCAAGATAAAGTAAAAACTCACCCACTGAACCCAGGACCTCAGGGGCTAGGGTTCAAGTTCAAGTGGGAGGAAGAGAAGGACCACAGCATAAGGAGCATAGTTTGGAGATGTCTT